TACCACATTCAATTCCCACTAAGTGCATATCGAGCTTCAACACAAAAACAGTACTCCTTCCTATGAACATAGGCCCCTGTTTACATTTGCAGATAGATAGATAGATGATAGGTAGATAGATAGGTAGATAGATGATAGATATGGATAGCTACATGCATTTGTAAGAAATTCAGTAATCATAAAACAACTGCTAGGAAAAACAATCCATAAAATGCCAATATCTAAATTAACAGCTCAGTAGTGGTAAAGAAGCCAGCCTAAAGGAAAATAAGAGGTTCGTTACCTCAGTTCTTTACTTCAGTGGATTTGTATGAATTCACAACCTTTCATTTGTTGGCAAGTAAGCCAAATAATTACCAACTAAGGGGACTTTATGTATTTATTTTTACATTTTCTTGCATTTATATGCAGTCTTCCACCGTGAAAGCCAAGGTGGTGTACATGTGCATCCTAGGCAGTTGCTGACTTAGGCGCTGTTTAGCTCCAGAAAAATAGTTGGTTCATGTACCTTCAGACCATATCCTGGGACCTATACTACCCTGTGTTTGGGAAAAGGCAGGCCCCTGTGGTTTGGCCCAGGGGCCTATGATTTATTTTCTGTAAGGTTTGGAAAACTTTGTTTGTCTGAAACTCTGGTGAACATTGCTAAAATGAAACAAATGCACAATTGTATCAATAGTATAAGGGCCCATGAACATGAAAAGTGCATTCTGAATTCAAAAAATTAAACTGGAACTTAAGGCAGTTAGTAAATGTGAATAAATTAAATTGATAATGTACCTTTTTTGTACTGTTATTGTTGTTGCTGAATTGGAAGTAAAGATATATGTATCTTGTATACAACATTCCTATTTTAAGAAGACTGGGAACATTCCAGTTCATTTTCTTGGACCTCCAGGAAAGATACCCCTGCATGTGGGGTGGGGAATAACCCCCAACTTGCTATTGGCAAGGTTACAAAAATACAACCCTTTGCACTTCATAAATAAAGAAACAGAAGAGGGCACAAAAACATTTTCCCCCTCTTTTGTTAATTAGATGTAACACCCATTGCTCCAATTTCCTTTTCTATACATTAAACTGCTCCTTCACAAAATGTTGCTATTAATTGCTAGAGTTTACAAAACCTCATGGGAGCAAGGGCAGGAAGTCAGACCTTTGGGATGGGTTAAAAATGTAAAGGTCATTCACAGACTTGCACATTTTCCTCTCTCCAAAAATAATATACTATTTGACAATTTCAGGGTTCAGCATGTCCCACTGAAATTTGGAAGCTTATGTGAAACTAGGCTACGTCCTGTAATCTCAAACGTTTAGTCTATTTTAAAAAAAACTACTCTGAAGTCTCCAGCTCCCTCCTTGGGTATCACATGACGTCTGCGCTAAAAAGCAGACTGGCTGTTCAGACAACTTTTCCTTCCCCTCCACCCCATGGGTTGGTACGGACAGAAAATAGCATACGAGAAGTTGGCAAAGTTAGTTGATTAAACCTGAAGACCAATAGCTCAAATTTTCATAGTCGTATTATTTTTCTGGTTAGTGGAATATTGAGTTATACCTAAATGCTTTAAGTAAAGAAACAAAAAAGCCCTTTCTTAATAACGTGTTGACAATGCAGAGAAAGGGTTTTATGTTTGCCTTCTAAAGTAATCCTACTTTCCTCCGTGGTTTCTCTTCAGTATAAATGGTATACTCAGTCAAGAGCAAGGAGAGTATTAGGCTTCAGTGTTTTTTATGATGGTGTATTATAACTACATATGCTAACTTACATCAGACCTCAGTGTTAGTTTTATTTAACAAAAAAAAGTTATAATTCGATTGTAAAAGCCTCTGAGCAGTTTACAAAAATATAAAAGAAAACATTAATATTATTGATAAATTTAAAAACAGGTATCTAAAACATTCAAAGATGTATCAAATTGGCAGTAGCTAAAAAGAAATAAAGCATCTAACTTCTAATTTTATTAAATAAATTTTATTTTATGAAATAAATACACATCTGGAAAGGCTTGCCTAAGTAAAAAAGTTTTAAGCAGACACCAAAAATAGCACACAATGGATGTCTCGAGGCAGGGAGTGTTGGTTATTTTAATTATATTTTAGTTCTTTTTGGTCCTTGAATAAGCTGTTCAAAGCTTCACTTTGCAAATGAACAATAACTTGTGTGGTCTGAAACAATATTATTGATAGCAGAACCTCCAAGTGTCCCTATTTTCCAGGGACAGTCCCATATTTATAGAAGCCGTTCCAGTTTCTGATTTGAATGTCCCTCTCTTCCTTGGGATGTCCCTATTTTCATCAGAGAAATATTGAAGCGTAAGGTAAGATGTCCCTATTTTCACTGGAGAAATGTTGGAAGGTATGGAGCTATCCAACCACCGAGCCATCTCAAGGCAGCCTTGTATTGGGAAGATATTTTAATGTTTAATGTTTTATTATGTTCTTATATATGTTAGAAGCTGCCCAGAGTGGCTCGGGAAATTTGCTATAAATAGTAAAATTATTATTCTAATTATGGAAAAGGACTTCCCTATTTTCATCAGAGAAATGTTGGAGGGTATGTGATAGCAGTAACATGAAGAAATCATCGCTATAAAATGGACTTATCATTGACACACTGGATAAACCAGTTTTGTTTAGGAAAGTGCAAGCAATATGGAACTGCAATCCTATATACTTACATGAGAGTAATTTCCATAGAACTGAAAAGCAGTACACATGCATAGGTTCATACTGTGAACCTGTGATCCATACAGCCCTTTACATGGATCCATGTTAGATAAGTTGGCTAATAAGTTAAATAAACAAGTTTGTAAGATTAATTAGTAAATATAGTATTGCACAGGGACATGGGTGGCGCTGTGGGTTAAACCACCGAGCCTAGGACTTGCCGATCAGAAGGTCGGCAGTTTGAATCCCCGTGACCGGGTGAGCTCCCGTTGCTCAGTCCCTGCTCCTGCCAATCTAGCAGTTCGAAAGCACGTCAAAGTGCAAGTAGATAAATAGGTACCGCTCCGGCGGGAAGGTAAACGGTGTTTCTGTGCGCTGCTCTGGTTCGCCAGAAGCGGCTTAGTCATGCTGGCCACATGACCCGGAAGCTGTACGCCGGCTCCCTCGGCCAATAAAGCGAGATGAGAGCTGCAACCCCAGAGTCGGTCACAACTGGACCTAATGGTCAGGGGTCCCTTTACCTTTTATAGTATTGCACGGCATGGTCCATTTATTTTTTAAAATGTATTTAGTCTTTGACCATTTTAAGCACTTGTCCAAGTTATGTCCTTTTGATCTTCTGGAGCAACATATTTCATTAACTCATTCAAATGCATTTGAAGATTTATAGCAATGTCTCACAATTTTTTCAACCATTCTTCTTCACAGGTACAGTGGTACCTCGGGTTAAGAACTTAATTCGTTCTGGAGGTCCGTTCTTAACCTGAAACTGTTCTTAACCTGAGACACCACTTTAGCTAATGGGGCCTCCCGCTGCCGCCACACCGTTGCCGTGCAATTTCTGTTCTCATCCTGAAGCAAAGTTCTTAACCCGAGATACTATTTCTGGGTTAGCAGAGTCTGTAACCTGAAGCATCTGAAACCTGAAGTGTCTGTAACCCGAGGTACCACTGTATTTCTTTACATGTCCAAAGAGGACCATAAACTAGACTAGCAACTACAAGTGCATTCAAAATTATCTAATTTATTACAACTCAATGCATTCCAACATATCTCATAAGTTTTCCAAAATGGGATTCACCTAATAGTGCCATAAGAAATAATTATTTGTTGCACCAGTTTCATACCATTTTCTGCTACATTTGGTTTTATGATGCCACTTTCTTTTTTCCATGACTACATATAAAGAGGACTGTAGGAAGAGCTAGTTCAGATACTACCTTGGGCAAATGCATTCACAAGTAGAGCTATTGATCCAAGTTCTACTGCTGTGTGCTCAGAGTCCCAACATAAACTCTGAAACAGTCCTAAGAAATCCGTATATGCCTCAGAAAAGGTGGTAAGACTACTGAAGGCAGTGGAATCCTACAAAGTGGGGATTGTCTTTCTGCCAGGCTTTAGTTTGCTTGAGTGATCCCTTTTCTTTTTCTTGAGTTGCATTTAAAACCCTTGATCAGTTTGTTTGTTTTTTAAAGACCTGACTGTCTCTATCATACATGCAATAAAGTAATAATGAACATATAAATAATAAAAGGGATATTCTGGAATGAAATATTAATAAGTGACTTGCAAAAGAAAATAGTTCCTCCACTTTCTGAATTTCTAACTTTTCGAGTCAAATTTGCTTGAAGGCCTCACACATAAAGAATTGCAGTAGTCAAATGGAAAGACATTGTGAACAAGTCCTGAATATCAAAAGGACACTCCTTTTGTGTGTGTGGATGATATTTTTAATGATTAGAGATCTGGTATCAGACTGAGAGGCAGTGTAGTGGAGTGATTACAAAGTTGAGGCTTGAGTGTGGAAAACTCAGGTTAATTGCTCAGCTATTAAGGATGGCTTAGGATGCCACCATCTGTCAGCCCAACCTCTCTCACAGTGTTGCTGTGAGGAACAACATCCCGACGTCCATGAAGAAAGGGCGCACAATACAATCCTCGTTGTTTCTTCGCTCCTGTAGCTTTAACTCCAAAGGAAAAGGACTCTGCCCTGTAAATACTAATGATATCCTTTTTATGATGTTATTATCATTTATTAGATTGATATACCGCCCTGCACCCGAAGATCACATACTGATCAGCAGTAATACTGCATTGCTAAAATGCCAGAAAATAACAACGAGCCATACAAAAATTCCGGGGGCTCTTTCCCAGCTGCAACCCTTCTCTGCCGGTACTCTATTTCTACAACTGCCGGGTGAAACCGGAGCGTCTTCGAAGGTGCACTAAACTGAATTGCCTGTGCTGTGCCTAAAGGGGGGGAGAAAACTACGACCTCTGATTGACAGCAGATTTGCCCAATGGCAAGCGAGAGCTCGCTCCCGTTAGCCAGTTATTTGAACGGGGGCAAGGACGAGGCGGCAGAGCGCCGGGAACCTTGGTAACGCGCGGGTGCCGCATGTTAACTGCGTGTGCGGCCGGTAAGAAGAAGAAGGAGGAGGAGGAGGAGAAGGCGGCGGGCTGAGTTTCCCGGGGCCTCCTTTGCTTCTGGTCGCCAGCGGCGGGATGAAGATCGAGGAAGTGAAGAGCACGTCGAAGACGCAGCGCATCGCCGCGCACAGCCATGTCAAGGGCCTGGGGCTGGACGACAGCGGGGCAGCCAAGCCGGCGGCGGCCGGGCTGGTCGGGCAGGAGAACGCGCGGGAGGTGAGGGCGGCGCTGGCGGGGCTCCGGGCTCCATGACCCCGTCCGGCCGCGTCACGGCCTGTCCTCTCCTCGGGCTCTTCGACTCGGAGGCGCCGGGCAGGAGCCCCCTGGGCCCGTCGTCTCCCTAAGGAGGCGCTGGTGCAGCTGCGGAACCTCTGAGGGGGGAAGACGGCAGCCGAAAGAGAGCCATAAGGAGTGGAGATGCACCTTCGCTTCTTGTTCCGTTTCAAGCCATGAAATAAGTTGTGGTTTGAGACGAGCGTGGTCAAGCAGATTGAAAGTTAGGAGTGGCCCCCACCCCCCAAAAAATCGCTTTAGGAGAGTTCATCTAAGCCACGGAGAGACCCCTGAATGTTCATGGGCTACTGCGCACATCATGCTGTGGCTGGTGCTGATAATGATAATAATTATTATTATTTATACCCCACCCATCTGGCTGGGTTTCCCCAGCCACTCTGGGCGGCTTCCAACAGAACACTAAAATACAATAACTATTAAACATTAGAAGCTTCCCTAAATAGGGATGCCTTCAGATGTCTTCTAAAAGTTTGGTAGTTATTTTTCTCTACGACATCTGGTGGAAGGGCGTTCCACAGGGCGGGTGCCACTACCGAGAAGGCCCTCTGCCTGATCCAAATTGGAGGCCAAAAACATATGCAGGGTCACAAGTTTCACCCTCCCCATCCACCCTGCAAAAAATCAGATTAGGTTCAACCAAATGCTAGGCATCCTATATCCCTGCCTTGTGTAACTTTGTCATAAACTATGAAGTACCGTATTTTTCGCCCTATAGGACGCACTTTTTCCCCTCCAAAAATGAAGGGGAAATGTGTGTGCGTCCTATGGGGCGAATGCAGGCTTTCGCTGAAGCCTGGAGAGCGAGAGGGGTCGGTGCGCACCGACCCCTCTCGCTCTCCAGGCTTCAGGAAGCGCTCTGCAAGCAGCGGGAGCGCTCCCGCTGCTTGCGGAGAGTTGCCTGCATGCCGAAGCCTGCGCGCGCTGAGATCAGCGCGTCCAGGCTTCGCGGACCTCTCCGCAAGCAGCGGGAGCGCTTCATACAGAGCTTGGAATCTCTGCTGTATGCTTAACCTAAATCTGCTTCAGTTCAAGGATATTAATTTTGGGTCTTAAGTGAGATCAAACTGAGCAGTTGCTTGTCAGATAGACATAGCATCAGAAATGCATGGTGTATCATTGGAGATGTAGCTTATTTGTGTTTGTTTATTCTTACACGTCTATTCCACCCTTCAAGGAACTCAAGGTGGTGTACATGCTTCTCCATGTTGTCATTATTAGGGACAAATCTGACTGGCTGGGCTTTATGGAGCATCAAAGCCATAGCTGCATCTGCAGCCTTGCTGCACACCTTTCATCAGCTTCCTAAAATTTGGTGCTTAGCTTAGCTTAGAACTGTAGAACAAGGCCTTTTCAGAGTTCATATTTCTTTGGTTTGTATTGACATATATATATAAAGATATAATCTGAAACAGTGAACCCCACTGAACACAGTGGCCCTTCTGAGTGGACATGCCTACATTTTAAAATTAGTGTTAGTACATTGAACGTTCCACCAGTCTGCAAACTAGCCATTTCAACATCAGGTGAGCTGTTAATAAGAAACTTTCTAAAAAGAAGAGCACTCGGAAGTTCTCATTTTTCTTCTGCCAATACAAGCTTGGTGGGAGATCTTGGCCAAATCCCTCACTTTCATCATTTTAAACTGGTGATTGTGCAAGATATTGAGTAGATTTACTCAAACAAGCCAGAAAATTATATAAAGCTGTTGTATTTGTGAAATGATAGGTGTCCTATGCTATTGCAAATGCCTTCTGTTCCTAATCTCAACAAGGACTTTAAAAAGCAAAAGACAAACAAACCCCAAACCCTCCAGTATCTATAACACTAGTATTTTAATGTTTTAGGCTTGTGGTGTTATTGTAGAATTGATCAGAAGCAAGAAGATGGCTGGCAGAGCTGTGCTATTGGCAGGACCTCCTGGAACTGGAAAGGTATGTCTTATGTCACATGCTTGTGTCAAATGCTGGCTCCCCTGGCCTGAAGCAAGATGAGCGCCGCACCCCATAGTTGCCTTTGACTAGACTTAACCGTCCAGGGGTCCTTTCCCTTACCTTTTACTTCCCAGTAGCTTGTACATTTGTGCTTATACATACTTTATTTTACAGAATTTATGTGCTGATTGTTTGTAAAAATAATAATCTTCAATTGGTTTACAGAAATAAAATAATAAACAATATTATTTATAATTATTATTAACAATAAATAATAAAATATTAACAATATCACAAAAATTAAGATAGTCAAAAGATCATTAAAATAAACAGCAAGAAATAAAGCACATGTAACTTTTATATGCCTTTAAGGGCTTGCCTAACAAATGTTTTCAGCAGGTGTCAACAAGAGTATAGCAAAGAGTACGGTACACACATAGGCATCAGACCTTCTAAACTCATTTGGTCAGTGGAATGGGAGGAGAACTGAACTACTGCAGAACATTTGATCCTTGTATTGTAGGAGTATTATAGTTATTAAATTTGTATGTCACCCTTCAACCGAAGGACACAGGGCAATTCATACCATAAAAATGAAAACACAGAATACATTAAAAAACAAAAGCAAAACAAACCGATAAATCCTCCCCCCACACACATTTAAAAGGCCATAGAATGTTAATCCGCCAAATGCCTGGTTCAAGAGAAACATTTTTCCTGGTGTTTAAAGATGGCACCTAATGGAGATATTTAAATAAACTAGTATGCTTGTCCTAGGTGAAAGATTATGTGAATATGCAACCTTTTAACAGTAGTTAGTTATTTGATACTTACTGATACTTATTTAGGCAGCTATTCTGTACACATTTCTAAGAAGCCTTTAGGAGCCATGCTAGAACTAACAAATTACTAAAAAGGTTTAAACCAGTAGTTCTTAAACTTGTTCCACCCCCATGGAACATTTGAAAATTGCTGCAGATCTCAGCAGATTAATCCCCCCCCCCTTTCCATCATCATTAAAACCAGCACCATATTATAGAAATCTAGCCCCAGACTAGAGAAGGATTTATTTAACTGATAAATCTCTCTGGAAAAAATAGTAGACTATTCTAGCACTACATTGTGAAATCATGATCTTTAGGCAAGAGCCTCCTTAGCCTATTTTGATAAATATGGTCCTGTTAAAATGGCCTCCCTGCATCCTCCAATACTCCACTATTCTGGAACATTCCCTCATGGAGTTGCTTTGCACGGGGCAGAAAATGAGGAAATGTTAAAAATGGTCTCCCCTCTGCCTCCTCCAGTGGGAAGATCCTTTAAGCAATATTCCACTTATAAGAACATTAGGTTGTATCCAAAGTTAATCCTACTCAGTGTAGGCCTACTGAAATTTAAGTTTAAAACCTGATAGGCTGTCTAATTTCTTTAAATTCTCTGAAATTTTGAGATTTCAGTATAATATATAATTGCTCAGTCTTTTGACTTTTTATTTTCATAGACTGCTTTGGCTTTGGCTATTGCTCAGGAGTTGGGTAGTAAGGTTCCCTTTTGCCCTATGGTTGGAAGTGAAGTTTACTCTACTGAAATAAAGAAGACAGAGGTCTTGATGGAAAATTTCAGAAGAGCAATTGGTACGTACCTTGAAACAAGAAACTAAGTTATCAGTGCAAGGTTATATTTTTTTTGTTCAGTTGAACATATAACATATATGTTATCATTTGTTTTGATTAATAAATCATATCTTGCTTCAGTTTTTAATATTACTGCAGAATTACTGAATCTCTTGCTAGCATATTTGCATAAGCTCTATAAATGCTTTCTTCATTATGGCATTTTAGTTGACTCTTGATTCAGTTACAAACAGTGCAAGAGTGATACTCTGCCTTTCTGCATTCTCATTGCATAATGCTGGACAAAAGAGAGGAAGGTATTTGTAGCTAACAAGATGAGTAGCTTTTCAATTAGGTTAATTTTCTCTTTAGTACTTGTGGATTTATCAATTGAATTGTTTCAGTTTGTCAAGAGGAAGAGTTGGATTTGCAAGCAAAACATTAAGCATCTAAAATCTTCCTATTTTACTTACTGTTGACAGCTGATAGAACTATCCCTTTACAGACCTTTGGATTGCTTAAAGATACCCTAATTGTTTTTATTACTGCGTCCAACATCCATTAATTCCCCAGGGCTCTGTATCATGATTTACCACAGACTTCATCTTAGTATTGAATGGCATTAAGGTGAAGAAACATTTCCATCAGTTCTTGCAACTGAAAAAAGTGGCCCATTGATTTCTGTAAGAAAGAGACTCTCAATCATCTGTGCTCTTTAAGTTACTGTTAAATTGGCAGGGTCGAGGGGGAGAGAGCCGAGAGATGGAGAGAGCGCAGTCTGCAATATTTCCTTGATGTGATGAAGTTCCCTGTCAGATTTGGAAACTTGAACCAGCAGTTGAAACCTGTGTCATCCATGTTGTCATTCTTAGAGATAGCAATAATTTAACAGCCAGCCACATTGTTGGTGCTCCACATTCCCTGGATGTCAGCATGAAGATGCTTCTAAATAAGTATTTGGTGTTAGTGAAAGATAGAAATTCTTCTCCTCCCATCTGTTGAATTTTATCTAACCCAAGTTATTAAAACATTCCTCTGAGAAATGGTTTTCTCTCCATTAATACCTATAACAATCCAGACATATTTCAGAACTGGTAACTGCCTACTCTGCTTAATGGAAACATGTTCTAATTCTTGTCCAATCATCCAGATTTTCTTTCTCAAATTAAGAATTCTCAAAAGGATATTTCTAGGGTTGCAATAGCAGAGCTTTGTAGTGTGTGTTAATTTGACATTCCAGTAGACTCTGAAATGAGTGCCAAAGGGTTATGAGTATAGCCTTATTTGGTCATTCGTTACTCCTCTGTTAAGCAACACCAAGGCAAGGGAGTGGGGTTGTGACAAATAGCCCAGTCCTCAAAGCTGTGCACTCCTCCACCAACATTCATGCATATAGAATGAACGTCTGGAAGGGGGTCTTGACAGTTGTAGATGGGGAAAGCTTTCCCAGAATCTGAAAGCCTGAGGGAGGTCTTCACATGTGCACCATAGTCATGTGAGTTTACAGAAAATGTTGCTATATGAATTTGGGTAATTTGTAAAATTTTATTTGCATCAGAAAATTTATTCTCTGTAGATTGATCTAATTTAGCAAGCTTATCCTATGTATTTTAGTAAACAAAGCTAAGGACTTTGAAACTACAAACTTGCTTAATTTTATTTGCAGTTGGCATTCATTCATTGTTACTAGTGAGTTTACAAAACAGACAATTTTCCACTAGTAAATAATAATGTTTAATGTTTACGCCTTTTCAGAGTCAGATTCTAGGTGGCAATTATAAGAACTACTTAGCAGTTCTTTTCAACCAAACTGTCAGTCTTTTTAATGTCCTATTTGATAAATATGTATTACTGGTTATAACTCTAGAATCTGTAATGGGTTTTTTCTCTTTCATGACATAGTTTTCGTTTAAGTGGTAGAGTAACAAATGGCCCTTCTTCATCTTTTGTTTCAGTGCTACTAAATTTATTGGGTTTTACATAAATATTTCCTGATGGTATTGGAGATGGCAAAGATGACTTCAGGTGGCAAATATCAAGAGCAGTCCATTATAAATGGCAATTATTTTTATAGCTTATATAATCAATATTTTACAGGCTTGAGGATTAAAGAAACCAAGGAAGTTTATGAAGGTGAAGTCACAGAATTAACTCCATGTGAGACTGAGAACCCCATGGGAGGATATGGCAAAACCATTAGTCATGTGATTATCGGACTCAAAACCGCAAAAGGAACTAAACAGCTCAAGGTAGGTGGGGTCTTATCTCTCACACATTTCTCAGCGTCTTAGCACTTCCTCATGTCAGTAAAAGGGGCAGGAGAACAGTTGACTAAAGGTACTTTTTAAGCAATAGAATTTATTTATTTTGCTATTTCTGTTTCACCGCATGATAGGTCCTCTAGGTCATTTGCCACTTCACCACATAAATTGATAGATATTGCCCACTCCTGCTTCCAAGAATGATTTGGAGATAGGTGATGCAGTTCTGCTGAAGCTAAGCGTTATTTGCCTTGTAAGCTGTCTGGGTCCAGAACCATTTGTAAAGCACTTAGGGTGCAATACTATACACCAGGAGTGACAAGCCTGTGGCCCTCCAGATGTTGTTGAACTACAACTCCTGTCTTTCCTAATCACTGGCCAGACTGACTGGGGCTGTTGAGAGTTTGGAATCCAGTAACATCTGGCAGAATGCAGGATCTTCAACACTTCTGTGATACTTCCCTGGAAGTAAGTCCTACAAAGCTCAATGGGTCTTACTTCTGAATAGGATTGCACTGTTAGAACTAATTCAGTTGATTGATATGTTACCAGTACAGATAGGAATGTATGCTGAGTTTCAGTGAAACTGGAATTACTGTAAAACGTAACTATTTTAATAAATGCGACAGTAAAGGTAAAGGGACCCCTGACCATTAGGTCCAGTCGTGACCGACTCTGGGGTTGCGGCGCTTATCTCGCTTTATTGGCTGAGGGAGCCGGCGTACAGCTTCCGGTTCACGTAGCCAGCATGACTAAGCCGCTTCTGGCGAACCAGAGCAGTGCATGGAAACGCCGTTTACCTTCCCACCAGTGTGGTACCTATTTATCTACTTGCACTTTGACATGCTTTCAAACTGCTAGGTTGGCAGGAGCAGGGACCGAGGAACGGGAGCTCACCCTGTCATGGGGATTCGAACCACCGACCTTCTGATCGGCAAGTCCTAGGCTCTGTGGTTTAACCCACAGCACCACCCGCGTCCCTAATGCGACAGTACCAAATTGCAAATTGTTATCATTGAAAAGCAAAAACTGGAAATCTGTCTCACACATTGCGTTGAGTCCAGAATTAAGTATGTTTACCAGGGCTGGTTCAAGCTGGCTTTCATACCTGTCCTCCTCACAGCAGCCCCCTGTACTGTCAGGAACTCAGCTGAATGGGGTGGGCTGCAGACTAAGACAAGTTCTGCTAGCCGGAACTCTGCTCATGAAAGCTGCCCAGAAAAATAAATATGAAGAAATAAAAGCTAACACACTTCTACTGGAACCTCTTTCTTTGTAGTTGTGTCTTAATATAGTTGGTCTCTATTTATTGTCTCTGTAGTTGGACCCCAGCATCTTTGAAAGTCTGCAGAAGGAAAGAGTAGAAGCTGGTGATGTGATTTACATTGAAGCAAACAGTGGCGCTGTCAAGGTAAAGCAAAGACAACAGTTGAACCTCTGACATAGTATTGGTTCAGGATTTTCCAACTTTTTGTCAAAAGTCAATCCCTTCTAGGATAGCTGTGATTTTCCTCAGGAAAGGAGAGAGGTGTTTTTTGTTTTGAAGGGGATCATTCATGAAATAAATGCCACCTCTAAAGGGGAATCATTTGATTCACAAGTAAGGTCAACTGGTTTGAGAGCTCTGGTTACAGTTGCCCAGAGTGGCTGGCACAACCCAGTCAAATGGGTGGGGTATAAGTAATAAATTATTACTATGATTATGATTATTAAATGTTTTCTTATTCATTTTAATATTTAACTTCATGCTTGTGTGTGTTCGTGTTCATATATGATATATAAGTGAAGAGAGAAGACCTGAAATAAGTAGTCGTACTAAAAAGAAATGCATAGAGCCTTTAATCTTTTATCTTCCTGGTGTTCTTGCCATAAGATATATGCATCTAGAAGGGAATACTGCATTAGTTAGCATGTTCTTCGTATCTGATTTAAAATGTAGTTTAGGAGATACTTGGTGTTTAATGGATGAGCATAATATTTTGTATCATACAATAAATCATCTATGTCCCAAGAAGTCTAGGACAGTTTTCTCCAATCTCCAGCTAATCTGCTGGATTTGTCCTTTAGCAAGAGTTTCGCTCTTTCAGAAGAATGGAGAAAATACCAGGTGCTTTCAGTACGATTTCATAGGTTGATCAGTCGTTCGTTTTCCAAGGACAAGCATGGCATTTTCAAAACTGTCAGACGAAGCCTGTTGGTGTTGTCACTGTAAAACAAGACCTTTGTTTATCAGCTGTATGTCATTCTCAATATTGGCAATAACATTAATTATAAATATAGTGTATGTGATTTCCAAATTCCTCTTCGCAGAGGCAAGGCAGGTGTGACACCTATGCGACAGAGTTTGACCTTGAGGCTGAAGAGTATGTTCCTTTGCCGAAAGGTGATGTGCACAAGAAGAAAGAGATTATCCAGGATGTAACTCTTCATGACTTGGATGTGGCCAATGCTAGACCTCAGGTATTCAACTATACTGACAGAAGCATCCAGACTTTCAGATTTGTGAAGAGAAGGAAGTCATGCTTTTGCAGGATAGGCAGCAATCCTGCAAAGGCTCCCACTAAGGAAAGAAGGGAAGAAACAGTGGATTCCCCTCTGCAACCCTCCGTACCATCCCCCACGCTGTTACAGAGGCTCTCCCACAATCCTCCGGAGCAGATTTTCAGGGGGCGTATAGGATTGCAGGGGAAAGGAATTCTATCAGCAAGAATTGAGTGGAATTTTCCTCGGAAGAAATCTGGACCAATCCACTAAAAATCTAACAGTAGATCTTTGCCTCCCTTTTGAGTGTGCCGGCACCTGGGGTCAAGGAGTACTGTCACAGTTCTATCCATTATTTTTCCTTGTTGCTGCAGTATGGAGTAAGCCAGGCTTTCCTGAAACACACAAACTCATTTAAAACAGGGATCAGGATCTACCAGTAGAACTGTGGATTATTTGCAGCCGTCTCCAAAAGTTTTTGACTACCAATATTTGCAAGTTTTAAAAGCCACCAACCTTGTTTTGGGGGAATTAGTGAGGGTGGTTATTGCATGTAGGTCAATGAAGAAAATGGAAAACATTTTTGGTGCTAATAATATTCACTGCCTTTTACCAGTAATTTGTACTGCATCCTAAACTGTATACATATTTTAGTACAGTGAGGCTTTTTGAACCTACAGGTAAATTATATGATAGTTTAACTAAAATGTAAACATATTCCATGAGACAGAGGGTCAATGACAGGTCTAGATTTTTCTGTTCTTTTACTGGTTCTAATAACAAGAAGCCAGAAAACATTTTTGTCGTCTTTTAAACTCAAATCACATGGTTTTGAAAAGTGAATACTTGAAAAGTCATTAAGGCACACATGTAGCAGGAAAGTCAATATTGCAACTCTGCCAGGGATCAATGACTCAAGCTGATACCTGTCATGCAGAGACGTGGAATATAGAGAACTCCTAAAACCTTTGGCAAAAGCATTTTCTGTGTGTGGTATTTGACACATTGTTAAAACTAATCTGCTTTACACTCAGGGTGTCTAGATACATTTTGGAAATATCTAATGGATCTATCCAGTTTTTGTTAAATGCCCATGGACAGATTAAGTTGCTTTTATGAGAATTTGTACTGTCAGCTCCCCTCAGTATACAGTGGTACCTTGGGTTAAGAACTTAATTTGTTCTGGAGGTCCGTTCTTAACCTGAAACTGTTCTTAACCTGAGGTACCACTTTAGCTAATGGGGCCTCCTGTCGCCGCGCGATTTCTGTTCTCATCCTGAAGCAAAGTTCTTAATGCGAGGTACTATTTCTGGGTTAGCGGTTAGCTGTAACCTGAAGCGTCTGTAACCCGTGGTACCACTGTATGGCCCTTTCAATTTGTCTCTTAGCTTAGAGAAGTTCTGTATGAATGCTCCAGTATGTTAGGTAAGTTCTTAAAGTCCCCACTGTGTTACAGTGAAGGCTTTTTGTGTTTGCAGCTGCAAACAGATTAATCTCTCTCTCCAATTGCAGCGAGTCAGTTCTGAGGGTTAAACAAGGCTATGTTGATGCAAGCTTGATTATTGCAGTCTTCAGTTGGATAATGTCATCTATGCTCACAATAACATATTGTCAGCATATCGACACAAACATATTCATCTTTATTTTAAAATAAGTGGCCTCATCAAAATAAAATGAGGCTCCTGGGTGTTGTGGAGAAATGCCAATTGTATGAACTGATATCTCCACATTGAGTATATAATATATACATGGTCCTGAGGAAGGGCTGCTATGCTAGCCAAATAATGGTGACTACATGCTGTAGTGTTAATTCATATAGCTGGTACATAGCATGAAATTAATCCAAAGGATTTGTTTTCCCGGGTGTGATTATTTCTGGCTGGCTGAAATACCTCCTAATTCTTAATGTTAACAATACTTATTTCTAAGACTTTTAAAAACTTTTAAAAAATAATTTTAAAGACCATCAACTTCCCAAGCTGAAATATTACAGAATATACTGTATAAAACTAAAACAAGCATTTTCTTGTTTAACAATGTATGTAAGATTTTTTAAATTATATAGCGAAGGAAAACAAAATTCCAAGTTCTCAGCTAGCAGAGGATTATAAAAACATGTTTGTAACTGATATAATTTCCATACATGCATTTTCCTTGAGTAATTTTATTGTTCTGAAACATTGCGAAATTTACTGAGACCTGAATAAAATGGCATCATCATGTTCCAAAGTGCACATAAAGAATGAGGCTTAACAGATATATATATACTAATGCACTATGCTTAGAATGCAAAAGTGGTGAATTTATAAAGTAGTTGTCTGATATTAGAAACTTCAATGTTGTTTTAAAAAACTGAAATAAGAATTATGGGCCATATTCAACTTAATAGTGCAAAATTAGCACTAGAGCAACAGGATTCCCTGCTCCATCCCTCCATAGGTGCTCTGTGCCATCTGCAGATCTGCTCACAACAGGTTATGTCAGGGGAGGAGATTTGCTTAATGCTACCTTGAATTCAACCCTTTATTTTTAGTTTGACCAAATTTTCATAGCTTTTACTGTACAGTAACAAAAAAAGATACAACCTTAATTTTCAAATTTGTTTTCTCTAGGGTGGGCAGGATATCCTCTCCATGATGGGACAGTTGATGAAGCCTAAGAAAACTGAAATCACAGGTACAATAGTTGTCTCACTTTCAGCCTGACCCCTATGCTTATATGGAAGTGAGTCCCACTGAACATGGTGAGACTTGGGTGTATAGTATTGCATCCTTAAGCTTTCAGCAAGGCAGAAGGAAGGATAGTTGGAATATACAGGAAGCGTGATGTGCATTACACAGTGCTGCTAAAGTTGAATGGGTTTCGGAATATTGTGTTCCAGCAGTTCAATGACTACTCATGTGTAACACTTGAGAAGTGCTACATAGGGCGTCTGGTTGAGTATTGATCAGAATCTGGTGGTGTTGCTTCCTTTCCTCAAATGGGGCACCAGCAGAACAGGCATCAATGCATCAGCTGTTACTCCACTCTTACACTCTTTAAACAAGCTTTATTCATAGTATGTTTTACATTTATTGACCTACAATTTTGTATAGTTGAGCAGTGTAGCATGTGCCCTACATTCAGCATCCAGCATTTTGAAAACATTATCAAATCCTGAAAATATCAGTCATTAGTCATTTACTCAAGTTATACAGCCTTTCTTGATGTTTTCCACAAACTGCAAGGATGAGAATTCACCTTACTGAATGTATGCATGGATGGATAGCACAAAAAAGTAGAATCCTGGAGTTTTGGCAGATAACAAATAATGGGCGTGCAAAAGATCTGAGATTGAATCCCCAGCATCTCCAGCTGGAACTGGAAAACCCCTTTCTGAAGCCATGGAGAGTCATTGCAAGACAGTTTATTGTTTACATTGTAGACTGAGCTAGATGAACAAAGTTGTCTGACTCGCTAAATTTAGAATAAGGGCTTGTACTGTATTTACCAATTTTCATTTATTTGTTTTTTTTAAAAAAACCTGGTGCAATCTTGCGACAAAACAGCAATATTTACAAATATTGAATGTGAAAAAGCCATTAGTCAAAAAGCCATTTTGGTTTCCATCCAAAATAAGCAGTTGAGTAATGATTGACTTGAATCCATAATTATGCAAAACCATTGTCTCAGCCTCATCCATTTTAAAGGAGTTTAATTTAATTTAAATTTCCTTATGCATAAGATTTTTGTGTGTGCATCAGTTCAGAAAAGGATACTAATAAGTTGGTGAAAAAGGGGCCGCTCTTTTATTGTAAGTTGTCTTGGAGCTTTCATTATAAATAAATCAGGTTGTTAACCTTTATCTTTCCCTTAGACAAGCTTCGAGGAGAGATCAACAAGGTGGTGAATAAATACATTGATCAAGGCATTGCTGAGTTAGTCCCCGGAGTTCTCTTTGTGGACGAGGTTCACATGCTGGATATTGAGTGCTTCACATATTTGCACCGAGCGCTGGAATCTTCTATTGCTCCGATTGTCATCTTTGCTTCCAACCGGGGGAACTGTGTAATCAGGTACAGTGCTTAAAGCTTAGTCCTGCATGGTTCTCTTCTTCCCATAAGCCTCAGTGTTAGCTGCTTCAGCACAAAGAGCTATGATCTTTGGGAGCATTTTATCCGTGGTGCTGATACACCTGTGATAATCATCTTGATGGGTCACAACCATATCTGTTGCTGCAGGGCTGCTTAAGGGCTTCACTGCAGGAAAAACCTTCACACTGCGATGACCAAGAATTAGTAAGTTTCTTTAGAGTCAGGTTTTTCAGGATCTTAATTTTTTTTTCTCCCCCTGTGCTCATCCCTAGATCTGTTCCTTTACAGTTGCTTTGCTTGTCTTCCCCATGATGTTTCAAATACCGCTTCTTCATATCTTTTTTTTTCCTTAGCACTGTAGCTATCCGCCTATACTGCTTCATCTGTTGGCAGTCTTTGCACTTGCTCATCTTTCATCCCATACAGTCAGATTTCTTTTTATAATGGCACCATCACCCTCAGAGGTGATCTGTCTTCTTTTAATAATTTGGACTAGGTTTTGTATCTCCAAACGGCTTTGAGCTGCGCTGCTTTGCTGTGAACAAGTTTACATATTGCACTTGAATAAAAAGAATTATGCAACGTCAGTTCCTTAATAAAAAGAAATAAATGTCTTGTTTAAATATTCCCTTTCTTTTTCTTTTTGTAGCATGTTCATTAGATTTCGGGTGGGCAATGGCTTTTGTTTATTGATTTTTGCTCCAGCACTTAAAAAAGCATTTGGTGCTTTAGAAATAATAATAGCAATGCCACTACCTGCTTTCCCTTTTTATAGTTTAGCTGGATCCCATCTTGTATACTGTTAACAGCTAAATGCCAGACTGGTGGCTTTCAGGTATTACTGCTATTTCTGCCTTTACTACAAGACTACTTGTACTCATCAAAGATTCATCCCTATTCATTACTGTTGTCTACTTCTTGTGTCACTTCGTAGTCGGCTTACAGCATTTTTTCCTGAAACTTGGTTTATTTCACTTATTAAATACATATCATATCTCACCGTTTCTTAGGCAGCTAACAAAATCCACATTGTGTAAAACAGTGACAATGGAATAAATTGTTTTCTGTCTTGGTATAAATTGAAAAAATAATTAAAATGACGATTTCCCTGGCATTGAGGGTTGCTACCTTCTCTTTCCTCTACTGCTAGCAATTTGCCACAGAAAACATGTCAAATGGTGGGACTTGCCCCTTCTGGCACTCGATTGGGATGGGAAATGCATCTCTCACACTTGCATATACATATAGGACAGAAAATACCTCTGAGAGACCAATGTTTAGAAAAGGTATTTCAAAGCAGCATTAGTCCACGTGTCTGTAAAGCCTTCCACTATTGCATGATTCACACACACCGATATTTGCTGAAGAGGGAGGCCCTGCCAGTGTATAAGGGACCTCTAAGAATTAAGTGCGGGCTTTTTCTTGAATGTCCACATTCTTTGCTGCCCACCAACATTTTATACAAGCTTGAGCACCTGCTCTGCAACCTGTGTGCAGAAGACATTGGCTTAGATCCGAAAGTGTCTTGTGTAAGTGGAAAGATTTCTTCCACAAGGCAAATTCTACCAATTTTCTTGTCCCACTGTAGTGTGCCCCACCCCCACCCCCAGTTTCCCATCCTATTCCCTTAATTGAGCAACTATTGGGGGCGAGGGGAGGGCGCAGGAAAGCAAGTGAATTTATGAATATGTACTGTTTATTTTCTGTTTTAAACCACTTAGCCAACCACTTTTAAGACGCTTGGGGAAGGGATTTAATATCCACAAATCAGAATATTAGGCAGTACATTTGGACAAAAGGGTTGAGGATGGTATAGAAAAGAACATGCCCAGATCCATTCTCTTATCTTAGTGGAGAAGAGACCCAGTCCACTTTTTTTTCTCTTGCCTTACTTGCACTTTATACTCTGCATGCTATAGATTTTTAATAAACTTAAATTACTGTGAAGTAGTGTTGTCTCCAGATACTTGGAATTAAGGCCTACCACACCATAAACACCTCCAGTCATCTTGTCAATATGTTTCTCCTTAGGCCAGGTAACAGTAGAAGAGTTTTTAAAAGTGAACCTCTCAAAGTTAAAGAACAGTCTGCTTCTGGTAATTGTTGGGTGATTTCTCCTCATCAGCTCACAGTGTTATCGGTAGACTCTTAGCCTGTCTTCCTCCTTACAATTTGTATCACACCCAATCTTTCCTCGGCTTTTGCAAAAGATACTTTGGCCCCGTGCAGTGAAAGCACCTTCTTGTAGACAGAAGTTTCCTATGAACCAGGACTAAAATTGTATCAGTGGTCTTTCATGTTGTGTTGAAAGAATTTTGAGTTCATGATTCTATTATTAGAAATGGAAGCCGCTATTATGTAGGGGGGGGGTAGATTAACATTCTAGTCCTATGCTCTGCTCCTCCCTCCCCTCTGCTCCTCATATACCACAACTGAGTAGGATCATGATTTTCTAGTAATCGCCTGAATAAGAAATATTTTTAGATGAAACTGGAGTGCCCTCTAATGGAGAACAGAAGATATTGTTGTTATTATTATTGGTTATTTATTGAATTTATATACCGCCCTACACCTGGAGGTCTCAGGGCGGTTCACAGAACAAAATCAAAATATAAAACCACAAAATATATAATCAAAATAAAAACAGCAACCCAATAACCTCCCCCCCCAAAAAAAAAATTTTTAAAGGGCAAAGTCATTTTCTTGTTTTACATAGGTACAATATATTGGTGGGAGTGGAAGGCAGGACTGTTCATCAGTCAAATACTTCACAGCATTTGCACTAAGAGTGCAAATTAAGGTACCTTGTGATGACAAAGAGTTTCATCAAGCTTATTCTTGAATCCAGATTTTCTATTGCCTAGCTCATTTACGTAGAATACAAGCCACTCTTCAGGAGAGGTATGTCAAAGTCTGCCTCTTAGGACAGTGCAACGTAAGCCATCACCAACCAATGTAATTTCTTAGTGTGTTGCTTTGAATGTTAGAAGAAAAGCTTCCCACCAGCAACCCTATTAAGGTGATAATTAAATATAAACCTGAACTTTTCTTTATATCCTTGCAGAGGTACAGAAGATATAATCTCTCCTCATGGGATACCTCTGGATCTTCTGGATAGGGTGATGATAATTAGAACCATGTTATATACGCCACAAGAAATGAAGCAGGTAACTCTCTTTCCTATGTAATATCTTCCGGGGCAGGCAGCAAAGGTCCCTCTCTAGAACCTCAGCCAGTGGTGCGGAGTGGGAAACAGTACTGGCTTCTTACCTATAACATGACTGGTTTGCAGGATTTGTTTTTTAGAAAGTTTTTGGGTCCTATAATTTTTTTAAACAATATTTATATGCTGGCTGATAAGTTCTAAGTTCTCTGAGTGGCTTACAATAATGTGAAAAATATTTAATATAGTAATATACATGGCCCTTTCCAGAAGGAAAATTTCATCCAAGTAGGAATTCATCCTGCAGGTTTCTGGCTTTGAAACTATGAAGGCTATGGTTTCCTCTTTAAGATATTATTATTATTATTATTATTATTATTATTAAAGATATTATTATTATATTTATTTATTTATTTATTTATTTATTTTTATTTTTAAATGTCTGCTGCGTTCTTTTCTATTCAGACATCACCAGAAATGGTTCGCAACAAAAGTAAAAACCTGCAACTTCTGATAAAATCAGAACAGCTCTCCAATAATGGGTAAATAAACAGCCCACAAAAAGATCTGTTTAAAAACAACCCATAAGTCAACAGGAAAAGTGCTTTAAAAATGCCAATAAGTATGAAGACTGTTCCAGTCTCCATATTTATCGCCATGTGAACTGATCTTTTAATTCATCATAGAAATGTGATGGGAACAGATCTTCATTACACTTCGCTTGAAAGGGCGGTCCCGCTTACATTTTTTGTATTTCTTAATTCCAGATCTTAATTTTTTTTCAATATTTGCTCAGTTTGAAATGAAACCACTCCATGTTAGTATTTGAAGTATGCGGATTTGTAAACTCCTGGGGTTCGTATTCCATCAGTGATTTGCTTACTGTATTCTTGGATCCATTTTATAGTTGATCTAGACGAGATTTTTTCAGTGATTGGCTAGAGCAACAGTCCAGTAAGCAGCAGGACTCATCTTGGTGCAAGGAGCATTGATTATAATCCTTGGGTGCCATTATGAGGCATCTTGTCAAAGATCCCCCCTCATTAGTGTCTCAGTGCTGTGGGCTGACACCATACAGGAGCCATTACGGTTTATCATGTCAATTCTTTGTATTATTTAGGAGATAGTGTCAATGGCGGAAAGCATTGTCACCAGATAATAGTCTCTGCTGCTGGATAAGTGCCAAGGTGAAGCAGAGGCATTTATTGAATATAAACGTACCAGCAAAGGCTCATTTCCTTTGGCATGAGGAAGCTTTTGTGTGGTGCCTTCTTTCAAAATATGCCGTGGTATTGATACTTGGGATGTTTTTGTGTACCTGACAGGATAGCTGTAGCACCTTGATATAGATTACAGCAAAGGTGGCTAGAGGATACAGCTGTACAATGAGGTTTTCATTTCAATATTAGCATAATACTATGTATTATAATATTAACGTTGGACAAAGTAATTGAGAGTGGCCAACTGCAGCTGTGCCTGGGTGAAAGGGATTATCTAGACCAATTTCTGCCTGGTTTCAGACCTGGGTATGGCACTGAAACAGCCTTGGTCCATCCTAGTTATTGACCTTTATCATAGAGTGCTACCCTGTTGATTCTGCTCAATCAACCCCTTGGTAGTGTTTGATACTGAACATTAGGAATAACTTTCTGAAAGTAAGAGCTGTTCAACTGTGGAACAGACTCCCACAAGAGATGGTGGACTCTCCTTCGTTGGAGGTTTTTAAGCAGAGATTGGATGGCTGTCTTTTGGGGTTTCTTTAGTTGTGATTCCTGTATTGCAGGGGGTTGGACTAGATGACCCTTGGTTCCTTATCCGCTTTTAATTAATTATACGCTGCAGTTTGCCCCTCTTTTGCATCTTATTTGGACAGGGTTTAGATTTGCTTAGTGATGTGTTTTAACAGAAGAGTTAAACATTTCCCTTCTGCAATTGTGTAAAGATTTCTGGGCCCAATTCAAAGTGCTGGTTTTGACCTATAATGCCTTAAATGGCTCAGGACTGCAATACCTCAAGGACTGCCTCTTTCCATATGAACCATCCTGGACCCAGAGATCATCTTCTCAGGCCCTTCTTCATGTGCCTCCTCCTTGAGAGGTCTGGAGGATGGCAACATGAGAATGGCCCTTCTCTGTAGTGGCTTCCTGTCTGTGGAATGCTCTCCCCAGGGAAGTTCACCTGGCGCTTTCTTTATACACCTTTAGGCACAAGGCAAAAACCGTTCCTTTTTAACCAGGCATTTGGTTGATTTGATTGACATCCTATGACCTTCTGAAATGTGGGTTTTATTGGGGGGGTTATTGGGTTGTCGTTTTTATTTTGATTATCTATTTTCTGTTTTTTTATATTTTGATTTTATTCTATGAACCACCCTGAGACCTCTGGGTATAGGGCGGTATATAAATTCAATAAATAAAATAAAATAAGCATTGTCCGCAGCGGATGAGGAAAGGCAGGGCACAGAATAGGATTCTTTCTTTCTCCCTTGAGCTTCCCCTCTTCCTCAGGTGCTTCCTCACCTGACCCTGCTAAAGAGTTCTGTTCCCCCCCAGTTTTAAATGACCCCATGGAGAGGGGGAAATGGGGCTTGGGGTTTTCCAAGAGCAGTTACACCTCTTCTCCCTGCACACAGCCTGCAAGTGGGGCTTTCCACCCTTATAGTTCACAGCAGCAGTGGGTAACCTGTGTGCCTTCAGATGTTATTATACTCTCAACTCCCATCAGCCCTGACCTTTGGCTGGAGTCCCACCTCGTTTGGAGAACCAAAGGTTGCCCTCCCCTGGTTTCAAGGATCCTTTGGCATGCCTCTCTGTGACCAGCTCTTTGCAGCTGAGATGGGGAATGACCAGTTCCAAGTACCATTTCTATGCATTCCTCTAGGTGCTTACCAGTTGAAAAATGCCTCCTTGTCCCTGTCCCCACCAAAGTAAGATTTGCATGCATACCACCAGAAGACTGTGTGCATACTGTAGGGACCACCTGCATTCCAGACATTTCTCCTATTTTGACATAGATGTACCTGCACAAAGAACACTACCTTGCAAGTAGGGAATGTGATATGGTGTGACTCAATAATCCAAATAGGTATTTGATTCTTGCATGTAGCCTTAGAGTGCTTTACATATTCTGGGTTGACTATGGCACCCCATAAACTGGCTACAGAGATGATTTACTGGATTGTGTATTCTTTATCTGTTTTTCCAAAGAAGAAAGTATTACACAGGCCTTTAAAAATTATATTCAGGTTTAGTCTTTATCTCAGTTGCAGTGGTTTAAGGGTTGGGAGCCAAAGAGAGATTTTAGTTCAGGTTCATTCAAGGGCCTGTGCACATTCAGAGGACTTCTGATTTATCCTGACCCAGTACCTAATCATCAGCCATTTTTACGACTTGACATGATATATTGTGGGTTGCTGATCAAGGAACACAACTTGAAAGCCAACTTGGGCACACAGTTCTTCGGATCACAGCCAAGTTGAATATCAGCTAGAAACTCCATGTTGGTGGGGGGATTTGTCTGATGTACTTATATTCAAATTTGATGACTGAGACCATTTATAGGAGCACTGTTTTTCTTTTTCTTTTTCTTTATTGATTTATTGATATCTCAATACATATACAAAATGTTTACATAATATTACATATACATTATACTTGTAAATTCACATTTTTCTGTAGGAGCACTGTTAATCGTCTCCTTGTGTTTCAGAAGCCTGACTAGCTTCAGCTGGAAGTCAGGCATTTAGTGTTGCCAGTCCCTGCTGTGGAATACATTTCTAGCAGGTGGAAGACTTTTATTTATGTCACTGTTCAGTATGATTTAAAGTATTTAAGATTAACGAGTCATTTTATGATTATTCTGTATTGTTTTTATGGGTGGTTTTTTTTTGTAAATTTTGTTGAACACCATCTGGTAGTTTTGTATGAAGTGCAGTCTAAATATTTTAATAAACAAAATGAAGTATTAGCCTTAATATTTTGGTCAAATTTGAACACTCCCAAGAGCAACTTCAAATTCTAATGTTCCTTAAACTAGCTGCCTAGTACGTGAAGCCCCAATTCTGTGCTCATCCCCCTTCCCCCTCTTCCGCACTCTGATTCCCTTGGTGCATTTTTATGGCTTTAATTTAAACGAGTGCTTCTTGATATCTTGTTTACAAAGCTGCCAAAGTGAAAAATACCTGTATTATATGAGACTCGCAGTTCCAGAGTTATCTCAACACTACAACACAACATCATTATCCAGTCTGCCCCTTATCACTCAGCTGGTAATACGGACTGCAGGGAGCCTGGTGCCACTTTTGTTACAGCTCTATGTGCTCAGGCTTATTGGTGATATCTTCTTCTTCAACTTTACAAAGATCTTCAAACTGGTACAAGCTGGAGACTGTTCTTGATAGATTAGATTTATCTGAGAGGTTTTGTGGGAGTAGGTGAACCTTGCAGAAAAACTTACTTATTTATTTATTTTACCATCTTATTTGTCAAGGGGCTAAAATGTCTGGCATGCATTTGAGCAACTAAAGGACAGTTGAGACTTTCCAAGCAAATTGTTCTGAAGATTTATTCCAGGTGGGGTACTGATGATCTGTGATTCTATAGGTCACTGTATGTATATTCCATATCATTCTCATAGTTTAGGAGTTACAAAGGTTCTTGAGGAATGCCCCAAAATATTATTCCATTTGCAACCCGAAAGGATCCCTGACTGTGTCGCAGTTCTAAATTGGATGCAGTGAAAGCAGATGTTAAAATAAACCAGCCCGTGTTTAAACTATGTTTTAATACTGTATATGGTTTGCATGTGATGCTAAGGTGTGTACACAGTTTTAAGAAATGCATTTTTTAAAGTCCAAACTGTGTTATATATATTTTTCTGCTTTAGATCATAAAGCTTCGTGCCCAGACAGAGAGTATTAATATTAGTGAGGAGGCATTGAATCATCTTGGAGAAATAGGCACCAAAACAACATTAAGGTAAGCATGTTGACTATAAATGTCAGATAATGACTGGTTTTGGAAATGGTATGAAGATGGGCAGAAACAGGTAGCTAGGGGGTAACCAGCAGGCCATTGTGGATTTCTGGTGAAATACTAATTTGCTTGAATGACGAAGTTCCATCAGTATTGCATAATCCACTTTTATTCATGACATTCAATTTCATTCAAAGGTGGTTCCTCTTTATTATTAACCTAAGAAATACTTGCATATACATAACTTACAGACAAGCTAAATTATAGTAGTGAAAATCCTTTGCAGAAATTAATAGTTGTATGATAATGATTGGTCATTTTAATGGACTGCATATTACTATTAAACTGTTTGACTGCTCCTTGCCATTTTTGCAGGTTGATACATTCAGTAATTTTGGACATGGGAGCCCAATGTCTTTTGCAGCCACCCATTGATGGCTGGCAAAATTGATTCTACCCACTTTCAAGGCTAGTGACATTTTTGCAAGAGTTAGTAAGTTCCAGACCACATGAAAATAGCCATTGCAATAGAGTTCTGTAACAATCCTAGCAGGATATATAATAAAATAGATTCATGTGCAAAGTGTGGCCAGCAGATTCTTTTTACAACTTCCTTGCAAGGCAATGAGGCGTCCTGAAAATAGATTCTAGTACTATTGCGAATGTCACTGGGGGAGGGGACCAGGGTCTAAAGAACTGCATTCATTTCCATGCAACTCGAGGAATTATGAAGTTGTGTTTCTCAAACCACAGCCTCATTTCCACATCACAAATAGCTTTTGAAATTCTTCATGTTTTTTCATCTGGTATGGGAGGTGGCATCACTGCTCAAAGTGGGAAGAGTCAAGTTGGTGGGTGTGCTTTAAGTGCCTCTTCGGCTCTTGGCTTAAATGTTTAATTTCCCCAGCTATAAGGTGCATTGGACATTTCTGGAAGCTAGGTTCATTTATTCACCCTGTGGAATATTTCTGTAAGTGTCTCTTCTGAGGAGTTTTCTCTGTTCTACTTTGTAGCTGGCATGTTAATTTGACACATGCTCTTATTATTTGGCCATAGGTATGCTGTGCAGTTACTCACCCCAGCCAATCTGCTAGCCAAGATAAATGGGAAAGACAGCATAGAAAAGGAACAAGTTGAAGAAATAAATGAACTCTTCTATGATGCCAAATCCTCGGCAAAAATACTGGCGGATCAACAGGAGAAATACATGAAGTGAAGAAGTTTGTTAGCCTTTCTAGTCCTCAGAGCCTCTTTTAACATTCTCCAGGTTTTAACTTTCACTGGAACTGAAAAGTTCTTAAATATCACAATACTGTTTTGTAGCAAGAAGAAGCATTTCCTTTGTTCTTAGTTCACCGAGAGGGAATGAAATCATCTCGATGTCTGTGGTGTCTTCTTGTTTCATATATTGAGTGCCTATATGAAATGGATGCAGGCTGTCATACCCTTATATTCCTCTTCTAGATTTGATTGCTAAGTTGCTTAGAAAAGACAATTTATTTTCATTGTTGGTTTTGTTTAAAAATAAATGTGAACTTGTTTTTAAAATGTTTTAAGTTTGACAGACTAATGGTGTTTTGGAGTGTCCCTCAAACCTTGTCAACAGAGGATGGATAACCCAGTAAAAGTGATGCTGTTCTCAGGAATGAAAACTTGAAGGTGCATTCACTTGGATTCTAGGCTTTTGCTTGGTTTTGGAGAGGTGGGCCAAATTTTCCAAGTTAAATTGCTGAATAACCAAACTTGGATGTAGCACAGTTTGTCACTCTCCCAGGCGACAAACTGTACATGTACCTGCCCGTGTAAGAGGAAATACACCTGCATGTATAGTCTTAAATATCTGTGCTGTATTAATTACAGGAATATGGCAGACGCATGGGTGACTGTTTCCAGGACAGACAGTTCAAGTACGGTAGCACCAGGGGAGAGGAAGCATGGAAGAGCAGGGCAAGTGGAGGTGTGATGGGGTAGATTGCCTCCTGGACAGCTATTTAAAAGACTGATCTTGTCTAGAAAGAGTAAACACTCTGGTGTCCAGTCTTGCAACAAGCACTGAGTATGTCTGTCTGGAATTAGAGTTGGTGGGGAACAAATAGGCCTTTAATTCTAACCCCTGCTCCTTCTCAGTGTGACTTGAGTAGAGACCAGCAGCATCACAGAATGATGCTTACAGAGCGCAGATAGCGTGAGGGGCCTTGCACTAGTGGGCCATGTTTAGTCGCTGCAACCCAAAATTCCTTTAGAGATCTAATACCGCTCCATGAAGTTTATACAATGTGTTTCATAGTACCAACTTTTCACTCAAATTGTTGTTTTCTAACATGATTGCAAGCAACAGTTTGCAAAACACATTTACGCCCAAGCCCACGTTGGATTATAGCCAATAACTTCAAAAACCTTGGCACTGATGGAAACAGAAGAATTCTTACACACACTACACTTTCTTCTCCATAGTTGTTGCTTTGTGTGTCTTTCACTAGGCTAACCTTCACAACAATAATGATTGGTATGATGTATGCAAACCCAAATTAAAACTGAACTTCCAGTTTACTATTTTGAATGTAACAAAATTGTGAAGTTTATGACACACACAGTTCATTCTAAACAAAAGAATGGAAGCCTCTGTGAAGTGTGTGCTGCTGCTGAATGTACCAAACCTAGGTCTGTGTAGACTTTTCTGATGCAACTAGCAGTGCTTCTAATCAGGCTTTGCCAGCTAAGCCCTTTGAGAACCTAATGCATTCTTTATAGCAAAAATATAACAACCAGTATCCAATGGTGAGTGTTCCCAGATGGAACAAAGTGGGAGGCTATTTTTGGCAATCTCTCCTTCCCTTTGCAGCACTCCATGCCCCCTATAAAACTTCAGCAAAAGGTTGAGGGACTCTCCAGAGCAGATATAAGAGGGAGTATAGGATTTTGATGGCAATAGCTAAAAATTGCCTCATTCTGCTGATGGATTTCCTACAGGCAGAGGACAATCACCATTGGCTATCCCTCTTTCATTTGTCATACAGCTCTAATGGTTTCTTATGATCAAGTCATCTGCCCCTGATCCTTCCTCATGCAGCTAAAGCTAAATGGCAGCAGATCAAATTTGTAATGAATGATAGTGAAAATAAACTGCAGTAAAAAAAATCCTCGCCAGAAAAACTGCAGTGTATTGAAGTCTGTTTGTTCTGAACAACTCTTATGTAAATCATCTGCTTCTGGGTATGGTGGGGTTTCCTGTAAATTTGTCACTTATGATACTATTGTGATCTATTTTACTGCTTTTTAAAAGGAATACCCCTGCCTGAGAAGTTGAACTGATTCACCATAATTATTCATGGTACATGGAGATTCCCAGAGCAAAGTACTTTTCTCAAAACTTTTCATGCGTCCTAAAACAAAAAGTACATGCACAAGTCACTTGTATATCTAAGTACAGTACGAAGAGAGGGACTTGAACATCACCTGCTCCTTCCCCATAAAATGATAAGGATTAATTTTTCTTAAGAAAAAAAGGTCATATAAGTTTCCCTTTCTGCATCAGTCAGAAAAGTGAGTCATTTATAAATCAGATTTCATTTGCTTGTTGGACCACACACACAAGTAACGTATTTGAAATTCATAATCGGATCTTAGGGAGCAAGTAGAGTGGTCTTTGTTTCTTTGTGTATTTAATTTATAGAACACCTCTCAGCAGAAAACAAGGTGGTTTACAAAATACAACACAAATGTTATCTATCTACACAACATAAAAATCCAAACAATTATATAAATGCAATTAGAGGAGAGATTATTTTAGAAGGTCTGGGCCTGAGCCATTTAGGGCTTTAAATGTAAGTACCTTGAACTGGCCTGGAAACAAGAATGTGTTTTCTTGTATAGCAAAGTTGTTAAATACAGAACCTGCAAACATGTACAATGAGCACCTGGGATCTCCCTCTGACCCTTGTGAGGAGAGAGGGAAGTTCCATTGTGCAAGCGGAGATTTTTGTGCTAGAGCAGGGCTGTTCAGCATTAGCAGCAGCAGCAGTAGTAGTAGTAATTAAATTTGTATACCATGCAGCCCTCAAAGCCTTTCTCGGCAGCCCTCAGCAACATTTGACAACACCCTTCCCCCCTGCAGCCCTTGTGCTGCTTTCCCAAAGGCGGGTAAAGAGGCACTGGGTTTGGGAAGGAGGTGTGAGGGATCTAGGACCCTGCCAGAGTCTCACACCTAGGGGTGCCATATTTCAAACTGAAAATTGGGACAGAAAAGTTGGTGAGCAAAATTAGCCGTTCTTGATCTATTTTTATGGGAAATCGGCAAAAGCAGCACTGCCGACATGGGCTTCCATATGTCCGGATTTTCCCAGACATTTTTCCTATTTCCTACACTGCTGCCAACTGCAGTATTCCAGATATGCCTGAGAAATCCTGGACATGTGGCAACCGTACTCATGCCTCCTTCCCAAAGCCCAGCACTTCACTTAGCCAGCTTTGGGAAGGCAGCACAAGGGCTAGATGGTGGCATCAGATTTCGCCTCTGTTTGATTCCATTCCATATATTTTATTTTACTGTGGAATAGTTTGCAAAGAGACAGGCACCATGCTTCATAAAAAGCAGGTATTTTTTAAAAATCCAGGAAAACCAACCAAGCTGTAATATAAAGGATTAAAACAACAGCAACCATTGAATGCTAAATTGTACCTGAATGTTTATCTGGTCTATTAAGTGATTCCCATCAGAATTACTGGTGTCAAAGCTTTGCCCATGAAAATGGCCATCATATAACTGATAAACAGTTCAATTGAAAGAATAACAGCACCACGCACTATAGCTGTAATTCTCCTTTAAAATCAATCGAAATAAGAGTGTTCTTCTATATGGAGGACATGATGATCTAGCAGAGGGGGAAATCCCATCTCGGTTGCTTAAGGTTTCTTATTAAATCTGGGGGAAAATAACTGCATTATTTTAATTCAGCTCTGCCCATTTTCCAGAAGTGCTGCACTTATTGCATTAATCTTCAGAGCGAAGTTTTTACGACTGATTGCCTGCAGAGTATGAGAAGTTTCGCCATCCATTAACCACAGAGAAACGGGCCCTGCAGGGTAGGAAAATATTTGTTACATCTTATCAGGGTGACACATAATCTAACAACAATTACAGCAGGCCCATATTTTGTACTATTTCAGTTTCGGTGTGAAAAATAGTTCTAATATTAAACCCGGGGTGGATGGGAGCTGCAGGAACCAGTTGAATATTATAAGCTCAGCAGTGGTGATTTCCCTTCAGGTTGTGGGTCTCGTCATTACTGGGATACGGCCCTAAGGAAGTGACTACACATAAATCCAGTGTACGTGCCCCCTATGCAAATGGCACAGTGTGCACTGGCAAAGCAGCTTGAAGGATGATTGCATCCATATCAATATGAAGTGCTGAAATTGCATTCTCCCCATGCTTGATGTTTTTGTTAATGTAAAAGCTTTTCGAGGCACTTCAGGTCACTCTCATTCTTCCAAAGGTTAAAAATGCAGAAGAAGTGTTTCAGCCTTACCAAGAGAGAGAGAGAGAGAGAAGCTACAACAAAAGTGCAGGTTACCATAAAAGGTTTGCAATATTATATATTAATATGCAAAATTAAATTGTTCAAAATTCGGCTCTGCTATCCAAATCCGATCCTGCATTTAAGCATAGCAGGGACAAAAATTTGTGACAGGTTTGATTTATCTTTTAGACAGTATTCACACACTGGTTTGGATCCCAACCTCTGTGAGCAAAGAACACTTCCTCTTGCAGACTCCTAGCACAGAAACACACAAAAAAACAAACCCAGATTGGCACAGACTGGGACATTTTACTGGCAGAAATTCAGGACCTCCCCAAATACAAGCAGAAGTGCCTTTCTGATCACTTGAAGGCACTTTTGGAATCCACGCCTATTGTGTTCAGTGGAGTTTGTAAAGCTGGCTGTTTGGATAATAACCATCTAAACACAGTGGAGGCTGGTTCATTTGGACAAATGGGGCACCAACCTTGGTCTGCCTTCAGCCAGTCCACTCCCACCTGCCTTCTCATCCAGTCTAGGGAGTGGCACTGGCGCCCAGCATCCTCTTCCTTAGTCCCAGAGCTGTCTCCGTAATAGCTCAGTAAGGAGGAGGATGGTGGCAATACTTGCACTAGTTGGCTCTGCCTATCATTGGCTGTGACTCCACCTTGTTGAACTCTCTGCCTTCTGCCCTATCAATCCCAATGAACACTGGCCACCATGGTCAAATGCATTCTACTGCACCCAGGTAGGATTTTGTTTCACTTGCTCAATTTGTGCCCTGCCTTTTTTGGTGCAGTAAGGTAAGGCAAAAAGGTAAAGGACCCCTGGATACTTAAGTCCAGTCAAAGGTGGCTGGGGTGCGGTGCTCATCTCACTTCAGGCCAAGGGAGCCACTGTTTGTCCACAGACAGCTTTCCGGGTCATGTGGCCAGCATGACTAAACTGCTACTGGTGCACGGAGGACTGTGACGAGTGCCAGAGCGCACTGAAACACCCTTTACCTTCCCTCCACAGTGGTACCTATTTATCCACTTGCACTGGTGTGCTTTCAAACTGCTAGGTTGGCAGAAGCTGGGACAGAGCAACAGGAGCTCACCCCCTCACGTGGATTTGAACCACTGACCTGATCAACAAGCCCAAGAGACTCTGGTTTAGACCACAGCACCACAGGTGTGTGTATGTGCAGACCAGACTGACCCACCTTATGCATCATCCCTAAGACATGTTGTACAATAAAGAGAACCAGAGATGTCTGCAAGACAGGGAACAGTTAGAGTTAGGAAACAATACCATATGCCAGGGCTAACACATTTAGAGGGGGAGTTGTCTCCCCTTACACACACACACACACACACACACACACGTTTGGTTATTTTAAAAAATCCTATTTTTTAAATACTGCACCAAACTGTCCCATGCAGCCTTCTTTATTGTGATGCCAGAATGCTAAAAGCTTTTTTTCTTCTTTTTTTAAAGTAATAAATTTGATTTTAAAAGAAAGACTATTCTGGTTTCTCCTTGGGGAGGGCACTTTGAAGAGGAAAGGGGTCAGAAAGCTGAGGCGTTTTGTATCAATCCCTAATATAAGCTGGGATCCACACAGTGCAACAAGTGGAGAAAGAACGCTGCGTTAAACTGGAGCTGTGTGTTTTCCTGTGTTTGCTTCTATTATTCCTACTCCTGCTGAAGAGACTAGTAGCTGTTTAAATGGATCGGCTTGTTTCTTCAGCAGTAGGATTTGTGGAAAAATCAGAAAGCAAACTTTGTTCTGTCCGTCCCTTCATTACTCACACGTGTCACTTCCTCGGATTGGGGCAAAGGACTATGGCATCCAGCCCCCTCTACTGGACTAATTGGATTGGGGTGGCCGTTAAATCCCTCCCTAATAAAGGAAAGCTTGTCTTGTGGTGATGGTTCAAGGCAGAAAGAGGCTTATTGGGACAGGATTAGCAGTTTGTATGTAAACATTAGGAATTTAACTCAGGTGCATACAAGGATGTGACAGGTAACCAGCAAGAGTTTTACTGCTTTGGAGATCAGCACCCTCTTTTATCACCTTTAGTCATGCCACAGTAACAGCACTGGGCAGCCAAATGTAGACCATATCAGCCCTACTTAATTTTCAGCCTTTAAAAATACAAACCTGTGTTACATACTGAAATAACACTAGATTCTGATGTTGCCAGGGCCCTCTCAGTGTCAGCTTATGAGGGTGATTGATGATTTGTCATTACCCACAGCATAAACTCCAAGTCTGTTAGGAAAACTGGGGATGTGAACACCAGAAGCCAGGGACTGAGAACATCATTGTTTAACTGGATTCTCGGCCTGAGGCTGAAGCAATAACATTTCCTTATCTTGTTCATCATTTCACACACACACACACACACACGTTTCCATTTTACAGATGGAAAGTTGCTGGTGCTTGGAAGATACTTATGGAAAGCTATCCAAGAAACAGCAGCAACTAGAGGATTCTGACACTGTATTTCTTTTGAGAAAGTACAGTATTATAGGGCAGTGACCGGAAGATGAAAAGGTCCTGCAAACATGTCCATTTAGGTATCTTGGCTGTGTATTTATTTATCGCTTCTTACATTGCAAAGGTGTTTTGGTGGGGAATGGAGGGAGGGCAAAGCACACTGTCAGTCTTCTGTTCAATTTTTAAGCAGTGGTTTTCAAAAATTTCAACCTTCAGCAACTACTTTTATACCTTCTCATCAGCCACAAAATTCCTGCACATTGCAAAAGATTGTGGGGCATGTACTGTGTGCCCTGCTCAGAGCACTGCCAGGTCCCGTTGAGCTCAACCGTTGCCTCCAGTAAATGGGCAGTGGTCCAATTGTCTTCTAGAGCTGCCCACTCAGGGGAAAATCAGTAGTGGTGAGAAAACTTTATTTCAATATAACTTGTCTACCAGTACAGATCTCACCAGTGAAGAATCCCCTGATAAATTTCCAATGAGGCCCATGGCTTTTCAGAACACAAGTTTGGGAAAAGCTGGTTTTGAGGGGGCAGGTGAGGAAGAAGTTCCACTGTGCACACAGACAGTGGAGTAGCGTGGGGGGCCCGGGTGCATTTTTTGAGGGGGTGTGACTCTCCCCTCCGCCTTCCTCTATTCCTAATGAGTTATTATAAAACAAGAGACAGGTATTCTATATGTGGACCATACTCTCCAACATTTCTCCAATGAAAACAGGGACGTCCCATTCCATAATGATAATTTTACTATTTATGCCCCACATATCTTATTGGGTTGCCCCAGCCACTCTGGGCAGCTTCCAACATATATAAAAACATAATAAAACATTAAACATTTTTAAAAACTTCCCTATGCAGGATTGCCTTCAGACGGATCGGGGGTTGGATAACTCCATACCCTGCAACATTTTCCCAATGAAAATAGGGACATCCTAAAGCATGGGTAGGCAAACTAAGGCCCAGGGGCTGGATGCAGTCCAATCGCCTTCTAAATCCGGCCCGCGGACGGTCTAGGAATCAGCAAGTTTTTACATGAGTAGAATGTGTGCTTTTATTTAAAATGCATCTCTGGGTTATTTGTGGGGCTTAGGAATTCATTCTTTTTTCCCGTTCAAAATATAGTCCGGCCCCCTGCTGAAAAAGTTTGCTGACCCCTGTCCTAAGGAAAAGTGGGACATTCTGGGATAGAATCAGAAACCGGGACAGCTTCTCTAAATCAGGGACGTCCCTGGAAAATAGCAATGCTTGGAGGGTCTGCTGCAATGACTGGCAACAACTCTCCAGGGTTTCAGGACTGGAGACATGCTTTACTACTGAGCTACAGCTGATCAGAAAATGCTCTGACATGGTAGAACCAAGCTATAGACCAAGCTTGCTCACTCTCTTAAGCATTAATATATGAAAGCAGCTTTACTAGTTCCTGCTTAACATTATGTGAGTCAGTCTTGAGCTCTTTCTAGATAATAATTTGAATAGCAAACATTACATCCACAAAGCATACGAGTCATGTGGACATATGTCATTCTCTCCATAGTAATCTGAGGCTGCAGGAATGTGATCTTCCTATCACTGATATTGCATGTAAATATCTCCACAAGATCTCAGTACTTCAAGAGTGGAATGAAGGCAGCAGAAAATTCTAAATACATTAAGGTAATCCTGGATACACCAGCCAACAAAAAAACAGGCTGATGTGTCAGATGACACAATACAACCTCTTAGTTCAGCACTAATCTATGAAAGAATATATATGGCAACATGGAAAATGACAATGTCACTCTTGGTCTGTTCCAGAAAAGGAACAGTATTAGTCTGTTGTGGCAAAAATCAGAATTCTGTGGCACTTTAAAAATTAACCATTTTATTGTAGTTTAAGATTTAGAGAGGTGGTGCGGGTGGCGCTGTGGGTAAAACCTCAGTGCCTAGGACTTGCCGATTGTATGGTCGGCGGTTCGAATCCCCGCGGCAGGGTGAGCTCCCATCTTTTGGTCCCAGCTCCTGCCCACCTAGCAGTTCGAAAGCACCTCCGGGTGCAAGTAGATAAATAGGTACCGCTTAATAGCGGGAAGGTAAACGGCGTTTCCGTGTGCTGCGCTGGTGCTGGCTCGCCAGAGCAGCTTCGTCATGCTGGCCACGTGACCCAGAAGTGTCTGCGGACAGCGCTGGCTCCCGGCCTCTTGAGTGAGATGAGCGCACAACCCTAGAGTCGGACATGACTGGCCTGCACGGGCAGGGGTACCTTTACCTTTACCAAAGATTTAGAGACTATTTCACTGGATCCATAATAGAGACAGTAGCACTGTAGAAGAAATGCTAAGTACACGTACCAAGCAAAGTTAAACTGCAATCTTATGCACATTTATATGGGAGTATGTCCCATGTCCTACTATAAACACAAACACATATAAACATGTAAAGATTATGCTCTAAGCTCCATGTATTTCTATAGGAGCCAGCTAAGAATGTGCTTAACTCTGCCATTTAAACCAATAGGATCCTAACGTGCATAATACTGCCTGGATTCTGATTCAGTTTAACAGAGCAAAGAAAATATAATGGCAATATTTGAGGCAAACCCCAACAGTAAGAATAACACTGCACAACCTGCATTTGTCATAATGTCACTGCGAGGATGAAGTACTCTTGCCTGTGGATCTGTGCACCCAACATTGAACTCATTCCCATGGGAATGAAGTGATAAAGGGTTACCTTACAAGTTGGCCCATAACTTCTGAACCAACATTTATGGAAGGGGTGAAGCAAGAAGGGATTAAGACAGAGCTTTCCAAACTGTGTGTCATGACATGTTAGCGTGTCAGTGTGTTACACAAACACTCCCCGCACTCCTCTTGGGGCTGGAAAGGGCTTAGTTTAACCTTCAGTTTGCTAGTAAAACTGAATTACTGCGTCGCGGAATGATGCATGTCTAAAAAGTGTGTCACCAACATGAAAAGTTTGGAAAGCTCTGGATTAAGAAAATGGAGACTCTGGGGATAGAAGACACCTTTCCTGGAGGACACTCCTTGCCCCCATAAAACAGGAAAATGGAGAAAAGGGTAGCTGTAAGGATTAGATTATGCTCATAGTCCAATGGTACACATTGAGTTTCTGTGATTTTACAATGAGATGAAAGCATAAGCTTTAGCTCACCAAGTATGGCTCTGATCACAGCCTCTTGGCAAAGAAGAGAAATAAAGTTTCCAAAGTTGATGTTTCTGTGGGATGGATGGATGGAAGGAAGGAAGGAAGGAAGGAGAAAGTCACTCCTCCCCCACTGTGAGAGCATCCTCACTTTGAGGTGGCTCAAACGTAACAGGAAGTTTCAACCCAAAGGTCCGCACACCATCCACAAACCCCATATTGATGGCACTGTCGCTCCCGGCAGCCGCCATCACCCCCGGCTTCACTTTTTGATTAATGCTCTTCCAAACTTTCCCTGGCTCCCTGCGCTCCCACTTTCTGTCACACTTCTCATTATGAATGTATCTTTGCATCGAGGAAAGCGGGAGGAAAAATTGTTCTTTCAGGGTGACAGCTGAGCGAGGGCTATATTATTAAAGGTACCAATCATAGGTGCCCAGCTATCATCTCACGATGAATGCACTTGTCAGGAGAGCGAGGCGGCCGGTGGAGGGGGGTGGGAGAGGAAGGAGGGA